ATAAGTCGCAGAGAGGCCGTTTCCACTATCTCACTTCCGCACAGTCGGCGGTGGACAAGAATGCGCCGACGCATGAGATGCACCTCATTTCGTTTTCCTCGTCCACCATGAAACGGGTTTGTCGAGCCACACTACAGTGTGAAGCTTACTCGTTGCAACATGCCATAGAGCATGGAGATCGCATTCGAGCAGCTGTACTCGAAGTACTTGGCAAACTGCCCCGGTCACAGAACTGGGAAGAAGTCGCAAAGAGATCGATGTTCCACCTGCAGTATACGGACTGCAGGTCCCTTTCGGATCACTTGACAGCGTCGATTCCAAAGTCATGCGAGGATAAACGCCTTGCCATTGAGATGTCTGGACTCCGCCAAGGACTCTGGGAGGAGGACGAGCTAACGCACGTCCTGTACCACCCCTGTGGCGATGAGTTGAGATGGATACCGACGCATTTACAACTTGCGGATTGTCTCACTAAGAGTATGAAACCGCTTTTGATCAATCACAGCATTGATCGCAACCTCGTACAGGTACTCGATGTGCCCGCGCAAGCCGCACAGAATACCGAGAGTACCGAAAGCACTCCGCTTCACGATTGAAGAACTCAGCCTTGAGCCTTGAGTCGCCGCACTCGGCTCGGTTGACTGTGCAAGCTCCCGGTATAATCCGGTGAAGTAGGTTTGGTCCAAAGCGACCAAAATTCGAGCATGATCACTACAGATAAGACGGGTGTGAAATTTCCCTGTCTTGAAGGGCCGTGTTGACATGTCCTCATGCGAGCGTAGTTTTTCATGTTTAGTTCTGGACGCACCCTGTATGACAGACGTCTTGGGCTCAGACCAAAAAGTGCGCTCGTTGTGTGGTTGGACACTCACTAATCCAGTTCCTGCTTCAAAAGGGTTTAGGGTTTAGGGGTTTAGGGTTTAGGGTTCAGGGGTTTAATTAGGGTTTAGGGGTTTAGGGTTTAGGGTTTAAAGGTTCGTGGAGAGGTTTCGCAGAGGGTCCGAGTACCCAAATAGTCCCAAAATTGATATTCTGAATGGCTTTGAAACCATGAAACCCTACTATTTGGGCACTTGGACCCTTAGGGTTTGTTTGGAGGTTCTCCAAGTTGCCCTAGAGAAGCCTTTATCACTTTTTCTGTTTGGGTTCCCGAAGTAAAGCCAAATAGGAAATTTGGAACACGGGTACCATCAAAATTAGGAGGCTACTGGGGAGCCTGGGTCTGTAAGGTTTCCGTAAGGGGTCTATTGAGGATCCTTCCGGGGTTCGTTCAGGGGTTATAGGTTTCTGGAGGAGATTCTTAGGGGTTCTACAGGGGATCCTTGTCTCTCTGGTTCTTAGTAGGGGGAAGTGGATCCGTACGGTAATCCCGTAAGTTTGTGTTCGTGGTAGTCTCTATATACCTGGGGGCTTATGGGTAGTAATAAGTGGGCTTATAAATATAGTATATTCATTCTACTTGCCAGCTCTACTCCCCTAAGCCCTAAACCCTCAACAAGCCCTACCTCAAGCCACCAAACCCTACTTTTTTGGAGGGTCCGGATAAACTTCATATCAGGGCTCATAGTAAGAACCTACAAAAAGTAGGGTTTGGTAGGCTAAGGTGCTTGCAACTGCCCATGAACCTCCAAGAAACCCCAGTCCACCATTCCCTGCTTACCAGGGAGTTGAGGCTTCGCTCCGGGCCTTTTGTAAAGGCTTTGAATAAGGGATCTCTTAGTAGCTGAGTGGATACACTTTGCACTTTTTTGGATAGTACTACCCACTATAAAACTACAAGTGTACACTTTTCGGGGCTTATGAACTCAGCAACTAAGATCTACAAGGGTTCTACAAGGGGTTCTACAAGACAAGGGCTTCTGGCAGGTGGATCCGTCAGGGATTTTTTGAAGGTTTCTGTAAGGGATGTATAAGGTATCTGGGCTCGCTTAAGGGGGTGCGATAGAGGGTGTATCGAGTTAGGAAGTTTAGGGTTCGGCGTTCAGGGGCTAGGGTTTGGGGTTTGGGGTGGGGTTCTTTTACTTGGAGAGTCAGGGGACTTAGTAAGTAGTTATTCTGAAGCTGGGCTCGCACGACGCACATAGCCTTGAAGCCCTGTTTGACATGGGCGGCTATGTACCAGCAGGCCGCAAGCAAGTGGGTCGGCTGGAAGGCATCTTGACGGAGTCCAGTGGTGAAGAAACCAGGAAGAGCTACGAAGTTTTGGTGTCCGAAAGGCTTGCTCCAGTGCCAAATGGTGCAGCCATGGCCTTTCAGGCTTTCATCGCCGCAATAGCTCTTTCGAGGATTGCAAATGTCTCGGACGTTTCCCAGGACAATGCTGGGGTTAGGGATGGACGTAACCAGTTGCAACAACTGGTGTACCTGGACTTGGGCAGTTGGTCACTGCCACAAGTGCTACAGTTCCCAGGAAAGTGGAAAGCTTTGGGGTCATGGCGCTGGTGTGCCAAGGCAATCCCGGACCAGTGCGACAAACTATTGAGTTATAAGTACCATAACCCCAATTAGGGTCCCTATTCAGGTACATATAAGTCTATATAATATCTACTTACTAAGTCCCTCGACCCTCCAAGTAGGGTTGTTGGAAGCTTCTATGAGGGATGTCAGTCCGGAGGATGCTATACGCAGGGTTGACAAGGGTTCTGTAGGTTTTGTGGGGGTTTAGGCTAGGGCTGAGCGGTCACTTGTGCAAAGATTTGCCCGTTCGCTTGTGCAAAGGCGTGCCCGTTCGCTTGTACGCGCGGAGGTGCGTTTTGTGTTGGCAGGGCCAATGAATTCGGACTTCGTTACTTGTAACTTCGCGATGTTGGGGAGGTCTGAAAGTGCACGAAACGTCGGCAGGGCCATGGTTTCCGGCTCTGGGCGTGCATGCTGGAAATCGCGCTTTTTGGTTCCGAAGTTGTTAAAGTGCTGGCAGGGCCACAGGATTCGGCTTCCCCGCGTCGGTCTTTAGCCCCTGTTTTCAAGCATTTGAACCCCCCCCTGGGACCAACCAGAACGTACTGCGGCCAACGCGACTTCTCTTGCTCCACGCGCCAAACACGGACGTTCTTAGCCCCCCACCCCACCCCCCCACCCCCCCCGCAAGAACCAACCGGAACGTGAATTGCGAGCCTCCAAGAGTGCGTCTCCCGCGGGAGCGTCAAACACGGACGTTCTCAGCATGCTGGGGCCAACGAGAATTCTTTTGCTGCACGCGACAAAAACACGGACGTTATCAGCCCCCCACCCCACCCGCCCCCCCTGGAACTAACATGAAAAAAATTGGTTCTAAGTCCCCCACGTCAAACACGTCGAACACGGACTTTATTAGCCCCCCCTGGAACCGACAAGAACGTGCTGCTGCCAGCGACACTGCTCTTGCTGCACGCGTCCAACACGAACGGTATTAGCCCCCCACGCCACACCCACCCTCCCCCCCTGGGACCAACAAGAACGTGCTGGTGCCAACGCAACTTCTCTTGCTGCATGCGCCAATTACCAACGTTCTTAGCCCCCCACCGCACCCCCCACCCACCCGCCCGCCCATGGGACCAACCAGAACGTACTGCTGCCAACGCGACTTCTCTTACTCCACGCGCCAAACACGGACGATAGCGCCCAGCCCCACTCCCCCACCCCCCCCCGAGAATTAAGCGGAACGTGCGTTTCGAGCCTCCAAGAATACGTTTTCCGTGGAAGCAATGAAACCAAACCTGACGTTCTTGGCCCCGAGCCCCCCCACCCCACCCCAGCCAGGAAGCCAGCCCCAACCCCACCCCCCCACCCCGCCCCCCCAGCCCCACCCCACCCAGGACCAACCAAAACGTGCTTTTCGAGCCACTGAGCGCTCTTGCTGCACGCGTCAAACACAGACGTTATTAGCCCCCACCCCACCCCCCACCCCCCCACCCGCCCCCAGGACCAACCAGAACGTGCGTCTCGAGCTTGCTCTTGCTGCACGCGTCAAACACGGACGTTATTAGCCCCACCCCCCACCCCACCCCCCCAGCCCCACCCCTTCCAGGACCGACCAAAACGTGCTTTTCCAGCCTCCAAAAGTGCGTTTTCAATGGTTCCACTGAGAGTGCCCTTGCTGCACGCGTCAAACACGGACGTTATTAGCCCCGACCCCACCCCCCCACCCACCCCACCCACCCCTGCAGGACCGACCAAAACGTGCTTTTCGAGCCTCCAAAAGTGCGTTTTCAACGGTTCCACTGAGAGTGCCCTTGTTGCACGCGTCAAACACGGACGTTATCGGCCCCCGAAGCATGCTCTGAAAACTTCTCCGGAAACCAACGAAAACATTCTTTTCGAGACTCCAAAAGTGCATTTTCGATGGTCTGTCAGATGTTTCCTAATACAGCTCAAAACGCACTTTTCGGCCAGCACTTGCCAACTGGGCAAGTGCACTTTCCTATGGTTTTTACAATGGATTCGGCACTTTCGCGCGCAAATGCCGTCAATTTCGGCTAACTTGCGAAGTGGACTTTCCTATGGTTTTTACAATGGATTCGACACATTTCCAAGCTTGTTGAAGCCATTTCCGAAAATGACCGAAGTGCACGTTCCTATGGTTTTTACAATGGATTCGACACCCGTCTTTGCGCAAGCGACTGGGCAAATCTTTGCGCAAGCGACGCGAATTTCTTTGCGTAAGCGACGGTGCTGCCTTAGGCTAGGGCTGTGGGGTTTTTAAATTCCTCAACCCCAAGCCCCAAACACGCTAGAAATGCCATCTTAGTTGCTGAGTTCAGAAGCCTCCAAAAGCGTACACTTTTGATTTTATAGTGGGGGATATTATCCAAAAGGTGTAAAGTGTATCCACTCAGCTACAAATGCCATTATATAATCGCCGCCCAAGCCCTAAACCATAGGCCCGAGGCCCTAAGCCTTCAACCCTGAACTTTAGACCCTTAATCCTAAGCCTTAAACGCACCACAAGACTCTAAACCCCAAACCCACCGAAAACCCACAACCCTAAACCCAAAGACCCTCAGAACTCTTTGGCTTCCAAGGTTCGCCACGCCGGACGAGGCCGTGGTATCCTGGGAGTGGCCTGGGCCATCGATTTACGTCCTAGTAGTAGACTAGGTAACCTTTAACCTTTCTTGAGTAGTATAGTCACTATATAATCCTTTCTAATCCTATATATTCCCTCAAAAACCCAAAAAGGTCAACCTTTAGTTCCCCATGATACCCGACAAGTAGGTTGAGGTCCCTATGACTAAGAACTAGGGAGTTATGCCGGGGCTGAGGTTCTTCAGGGCCAGAAGACCTAGAGCATACTGCCGTAAAGAATAGTGTATTATCTTAAAGTGTAGTAAGTCATAGTTTAAGATAGTAAGTTATAGTGAACTATAGTATAGTATAGCAAAGACCAGAATAATACAGTAGTTTGAAACGCTGCGCGTCGTCCGCCTCGGCCCGGCTGTACGCGCATGCGGCGAGCCCACACAAAGATGCTACATTGCAGTCCCGTGTCGTCGAAAACTCCAGAAAGCTCGCACCTGTCAGCGAGCGGAGGACGGGCGGGAGGGAAGGGTGGAGGGGGGGGGCGGGAGGGGGGGAGGGGGGGGGAGGGGAGGGGGGGGAGGGGAGGGGGAGGGGGAAGGGAAGGGGAGGGGATCACTGGGGAGGGGAGTAAGAGGTGGAGGAAATCCGAATAGGAACCTCTGACCGCTTCGGCCGGGGCCGAGGCGAATTCACAGTACGTAACATAGAATAGATGGATATCTTACCCTGCCCCCAAAATGCATCAATTTTGCGTCAAGAAGCAGAAGGCAAAACCCGGTCAAAGACCCGCCCAAAACCCTGGGACCCTGGACCTGAACGTTGTACAATTTCTAGAAACCGAGTTGGGAAGTCTCATGGTACATCGTATCCAGCATCCCAGGGAAGAGCGTGTGCAGCCTCTCCGTGGCGCGGGGGATTTGCTGCGAGGTTTCTTCCGCTTCTACGCCGAGGACCACGGCAAGACAAACAACATCCACCGTTTCCGGTATTTTATACTGCGGTTATACTATAATATAATTACATCTCATACTATAAATCAGAGACTCCAAAATCCTTCAGTGAAAAAAACAAAAAGCCCTAAAAGCACATCCATGGCGTCCTAGGGGCTGCAAAGGAACAGACCCTAAATGATGCAAAGGATGCCTCAACAAGTTGCAGGTATCTAGGGTCTTGGGATCGTTTCGGGCTTTGGGACGAAAGTTACATCAAGGTGCTGTGCACTTTCTTCCTTTCCCTTTTGGGCCGCCTTGTTCAGACCGAAGACAAGGAAAAAGGGCACCCGTACACATTTGGGCTTTGTTGGGGAACCTATAGTAGTGTTTAGTTAAGTAAGGAAGCTGCATGCACAGCCGGCGGCACCCTTCCTATTGGGGGTATTAAGGTTCTTTGTTGCTTCATTCTAGTTCTTCTAGGTTTGGTTCCCTCAACCCTAAACCCTAAACCCTAAACCCTAAACCCTAAACCCTAAACCCTAAACCTTAAACCCTGAACCCCAAACTCCCAAAAGATGGCTGGCAGACCAAGCCCGCCCGAAATGAGCTTTTCGCGCGTCAGAGCAAGAATATAAGAACAGGGGCCCTCAAAGGAAACCTAGCCCTCAAAGCAACTCTAAACCCTCAAAGACACCGTCACCCTAGCTTTAAAAACAACTTAAACCTTAAACCCTAAACCCTTAAGCCCACGACTAAGAGCCCTAAACCCTAAACCCTAAACCCTTAAAAGAAAGCCATTAAGCCCAAGACTAAGAGCCCTGAACCCTAAACCCTAAACCCTTAGAAGAAAACCCTTAAGCCCACGACGAAGAGCCCTAAACCCTAAACCCCCAAAGGAAAACCCTTAAGCCCATGACTAAGAGCCGTAAACCCTAAGCCCTTAAGCCCAAGACTGAGAGCCCTAAACCCCCCTAAACCTTTCAAGGAAAAAAGTCTCAGAGCCCCTGAAAACCCTAAACCCTTAAACCCTAAACCCCTAAACCTTAAACCCTAAACCCCTAAACCCTAAACCCCTAAACCCTAAACCCCTAAACCCTAAACCGCCATCTCCCCGTGAGGACTTCGACTGGCAGTCCGAGGTGCCCTGGGAATCTGTGGGAACATATTCCTTCCAATGGGAGCTTCCGCTTCCTTAGGGGGTACCTTAGGGTTCCTTTAAAAGGTTACTATAAGGGTACTATCAGGTTTCCTTTAAAGAGCTCTATAAGGGTTTCGAGCTTCCGGAAAGTAGGGGTTCCTGTAGAGGGATCCATAAGGTACTATAGAGGGTTTAGGGTTTAGAGTTTCTGAAAATTAGGGCGGTTTGGGGTCCTTATAATAAGGATCCTGCTATTTCGGGGACTATATTAGGGTCCCCTTTCTTCGGAAACTCTCAATATCGGGCCCTTCAAAGGTTTCTACAAGGGATCTAGAATAGGGTTCTATAATGAGGGTTCCTTTAGAAGGGGTCATTTATGGGCTACTATAAGGGGTCTATGAGGGTACTATGATATAGCCTTCTACTATCCGTTCATGAAGGTTTTTTCTTTAAAGTATAATAGGATCCCTAATATGAGTTGAAGTATATTCCATAATTGAGGGATATGGAAAGGTCTGGGAACCTCCATATTCAGAGTCAGGTTCTTGCGATTGGGGCTTAATGCGCTTTGCATTGCTTTTTTGGCTTGCCGTTGTTCCGGACTGTTGCCTTTGAGCGGACGCGATCTCGAAGAGAGGTGGTGTCTGTTCGCATGGGCTCCCGCAACAACGTCTCCAGTGTTGACCACGTCTTCCATCCCAGGCGGGGCTTGTTTTCGGTGTCGGCTTTTAATTAGCCCGCTCTGCCTCATCTGGAGATGGAATGGAATGAGAGCTTGCTTGGAGGTTCAGGGTACGTAGAGTTGAATTGCACCTAATGTAGGAACCTGATTAAGAAACCCTGGGCCGATAACCCCCAAATAGTAGGATTCACATAAGGAACCCAAATAAAGGCCCAAGGTTTCTTAATCAGGGTCCTATTTTAGTCTATGCTTGTGCTTGAGGACATCTCTGTTTCGACTTACTGGGCCTGAACCCTAAACCCTAAACCCCTGAACCCCTAAGCTCTAAACCCCTAAGCCCTGGACCTTCTAAACCCTCAGGTAAGATCCAATATACTACAGGGGCCTTGGCACTTCGAGAGTTCGTGTAGGGATTCGGCTGTTCCTTTTCCTTCCAAGATCCCACCATAAACCTGGGTTGAATATAGAATCCTGGGTCATTATTGACAGCATTCTTTTGATGTTTTTCCTATATTTATGGTGTAGCTTACCTCGACAGCCGTTGTAATGGTAAGGTCCCTATATGAGTCAACGATTTGTATTCCTTCATCACGATGCACCTAGGCACCAACTGCAACTTCAACTCCACAACCAGCATAAGAGCAACGATGGCATGAACAACAGGGAGGTGCACGTATGATTCTGTTGGGACAAGCAGTGAAGCAGTAAACCAATCAAAACGCGGCAGGTGATGCAAATTGGCAAAACGACCGACGATGAAACCGACTGGTCGGAGTAGAAGTGCTCCTGACCAACCCCGAGAGCCCAATACCCCTTAATTAAGGAATATAGCTGAAATCATAATATGAAGCCCTATATAATTTAAGCCATATTCCTATGTTTGGTGTATTGGGCTCTCTGGGAACTATCTTGAGTCATCAGACCTGTCTTTTTGGCTGCCTGAAATCCCTAGTAGTCGAGTAGGCAACCTTTAACCTTTTTTGGGTAGTACAGTCCCTAGTAAATCCCTGTATAACCAAAAAAGTTAACCTTCAGTTCCCCATGATACCCGACAAGTAGGAATTCAACAGTCGTCCGTGCAGCTCAGCTCGAAGAAGCAAGAAGCCAGCTCAATCGGGCGGCGACGTGCTTTCTAGTCTTGAACGCTAAAGGGGACCAGCCATGCCGCCCTTGAAAGTTGTGGTCCGCTCGCGAAGACAGGGCATGCTTGTGAATCGTTTTCCTGCCCTCTGCTCTGAACCTAGCGGCAAAGTTGTCGCCAACAGGTTCGGAAAAGCAAAAGAGTGGGAGACGTGGACGCTGGAGTTCCATGGCGACAAAGTTGCTTTGCGATCCCATCACGGCAAATACCTCACAGCTCAGGCCGACGGAGGTGCCGTGGCAAATCGGGAGAATGTCCGAGGCTGGCAGACATGGAGCATGGAGAATGCCCCAGGCTCCGATGGTTACATCGTGGCCTTCAAGTCATGCCATGGCAAGTACCTTTGTGCGGATGGCGGTCACTTCCAGAACATCGGAGTCGGAAATGTGGTTCATGCCGATAGAGACTCGTGTGGAGAATGGGAGCAGTGGACCATTAGCACTCCCGGTGATGTTCCATTGTGCCGAGCCGATGTTCCTCGCGCTCTCGGCGCCGCAGCTGTGTCTGGAGCAACAGGAACAGCCGTCGCTCTTGTTGTCACTCCGGGAGTTGCCGCCGCGCTTGGCTTCACGGCCGAGGGCATCGCCGCAGGTTCTGCCGCAGCTGGGATGATGTCAGCAGCAGCCATTGCTGAAGGTGGTGGTGTCGCTGCAGGCAGTACTGTTGCAACCTTGCAGGCAGTTGGCACGGGAGGCGTCACTGCTCTCGGAGGCACCGCTCTCGCTGGTACCATCTGTGCTGTGGCGTTGCGGTCGCCGCAGTTGTCGGCTTGGCAGTTTGGGCAGGAGTTGTCACAAACCGTAGCTTCCTCGACAACGCTCTCAAAGACAAGCCGCCCAAGGGCAAATGGATGCTGGGGACGGAAGAAGGTATGCACAACGTGCTCTTTTATGAGTTCCCGGACGAGCCGACGGCAGTCCAGGCGTTCGATGATGTAAAGACTTCTCGCATACTGTTCAACAAGGAGCACAATGAGATCCGCTCCGCAGGCTTGAATGGCAACGGCATCGAAAGGATCCGTGTGAAGGCACGTCACAGCTAATCGAGGTACATACACACGAAGCCCCAGATTCAAAAGCCCCCCAACCATCTCGACCTGAAGCCGTAAATTCCAAGGCCCCAAATCCTAAACCCCTAAATTCCCAAACGCCAAACCCTAACCCCTCAGCTCTGAAACTCCCAGGCCCCAAGCCCCAAACTTTAAATCCCGTGGTCCCCAAGAGCGAGGTCCATGGACCCTTGAACCCTCAGGCCCTGATACCATATCTAGGATGCCCAGTAGTACCCTTACTGTATTCCCTTTTGTAGTCTTAGGTTCCTTATAAAGTTACTCAATCTGATCCCAGAGACTCCAATACCCCTTAATTAAGGAATGAATATACCTTAAATAATAGTAGGATCCTTAATATGATTTAAGGAATATTCCTTAATTAGGGGGTATTGGAGTCTCTGGGATACCATGGATAGCCCTGATACCATATGGGAGTTTCCGAAAACAAGGGGTACCTTATTTGGGGGGTCCTTATATTAAGGATCCTAGTATTTAGGGTCCTATATTAGGGCCCCCCGTTTTCGGAAACTCCCATGTATAACCCGGCCATTATCCGCACAAGCAGACAGCCAAAGTGCGAGCCAAAATATGCATGCCCGTCGCTGCTTGCTTGCATTGCTGGTTTCCAGCATTGCAGTGCCTGTTGTTTCAAGAGTTTTTTTTGCGGGGGTCGGAGGCTGTTGGGGTCTAGACGCTGGGGTCTTGTCGTTTCTTTGCCGCGCTGTCTGAGTGGAGAAGAAGGCATCCACACAGACATGTGCATAGATAATTACATAGGTGCACATATATATATATATATGTATATGTATGTGTGTGTATGTGTATATATATATATGTATACATCTGTTTATGCACACATGTTGCTTGCATTCTCACTCGTTCATTCCCGGTACAGACAACTCAGCGGAAGTGGTTCTATCGCTACCTTGGGTAATCATGCCACCTTTCAAGCACCCAAGTGACTATCTAATAATGCCAGCGTGCCTGTCCTGACCTTTCATGCTGCCTTTGTTGCTAAATCGTAGGTGGTGGTATGCTAAGGTAATACACCCTCAGTCTTGACCAAGGCTACGGCTTCTTGTTTTGATCCAAAAGACAGAGTAATATGGCGTTTTGTACAGTTTAGAACGGTGTAGGTTCCGGGCTTCGGGTTTCGCGGTTTCGTTTTTTTTTTGGTTTTGGGTTTAGGGGCTCGGGGTTTGGGGGCTTGTCGGGTTTGAGGGTGTAGGGGTTTGGGTTTGAGGGGTTTCAATAGTAAGTACGAATGTAGTTCCGTGATTAAGACTAAAGGGACATGCTTTGGAGGACCCTCGTGAAGCCCTGCGACGGCACTCGGGGGTGGGGCGGGGGTTTCAAACCCGATATCCAAAAGCTTACTCCCTGAACCCGAAACGTTCTATAACCCTTAAACCCTACACTATACCCTAAACCCCATACTTGTTAGAACCTTGGGCCCTTAAGCCCCAAAACCTAGTAAGATCTTCAGTTTGAAACCCAGGGTCCGAAATCAAAGCCTTAAAGCCCAGAAAGCCCTAAGCCCTAAACCCGGAGCCCTTAACGCCTAAGTCCCGATGAAACCTTGTGCCCTAAATCCTGAGTCCTCATTCCCTGAACTAAACCCTAATCCTTACATCCTAATTCCTAAGTCCTTATTAAACCCTAAACCTTGAGTCCCGATGAATAGCTGTTCTGGAGTTGGAAAAGAGCCCATACAAGAAAAAGATAATATCCCCATGGATCCCTCAGCTTCATAATTCCTAAGCCCTAAGTCCTTATTAAGCCCTAAGCCCTAAATCTTCATAAATCCTAAACCCTAAGTCCTTCTTAAGCCCTAAACCCTAAATCCTGACAGATTTTTTAAGAAAGATCCCAGCACTGGACAGGATGCCACGGCGCCCGAGGGGAGGCGGCGAGGATGGCTGCCTGCACATCGAGGCCGAGGGTTTCTAGGCTTCGCATTTCGGATAAGATGCATCTTACACAAACCAACACACCGAATCTTATTGGGGCTCAGGATGTTTTGGGGTTGAAAGCTTTTAGGTCTAGGCTTCGGGTGTTTAGGGTTTGGGAGCTGGAGTTCAGTGGTCTAGGGTTTAGGTTTAGGGTTTAGGGTTTAGGTTTAGGGGTTAGGGTTTAGGGTTTAGGGGGTTTCGGGTTAGGTTCAGGGTTTAGGGGTTTCGGTTTTGGTTTAGGGTTTGGGTTTAGGGTTTGGGAGCTTAGGAGTTGAAGCGGCTTTAGGGTTTAGGGTTTGGGGTTGAGGGTTCGTTTTTTTTAGGAGTTCAGGGGCGCGGCTTCTTCGTAGCTGAGTAGGTAACCTTTAAACTTGTGGGGTTTATGTAACCCTCTACAATTACTTGAAATGGTTACCCAGAGGGTCCAAAGACACCACCATTTTGGAATTAGGTCCCAAAAGACCATCCCGCTTATGGTTTGGGGGATCTAATTCCATATTCGTAGTGTATATGGAGCCTCTGGGGTTTACCTTTTTTGGGCTAGGGTACTCAGCCCCTCAGGCTTCAAGGTTTAGGGTTGAGGGTTCGTGTTTTTTTGGCGGAGATGGTGCTGAAAACTGAAGGTACAAGGGCTCTTTTCCAGATTCTGTTTTTGTTGTTTTCAAGGCTTTTAAGCGGATTACAAGAGGGTGTTGAAAACCAGGGTTGCGCCTTCTCCAGGGGCTTGGGGTTTAGGGTTTAGGGCTCAGCTTCTTTAGGCTTAGGATTCAGGGTTTGGAGCTTGGCGACTCGCGGGCGATTGCTGGGTTATCAGAGCTTTGCAGCATTTGGTCAGGTTTTACATAAATCCTAAATCCTGAAGCTTAAACGCTAATTCCTAACCGTGCGCAGTCTCTTGGCCTTCGAGTGCCTTATTTGGGGGTCCTTTCCAGCAGGTTTTTAGGGACGCCCTAAACCGATTTGTTGCCATCATCAGCACTGTACAGCTTTTCATAGCCGTCGTTACTGATTTTTCCATTACGACTGTTTCTACCGCCATTTCCATTGTCTCTATTGTAGTTTTGCTCCTATTGAATATTGATTTCGCATTTGTGATTTGTTTTTCCTGGAGCAAGAGCCATGATCACGTACAGAGGACCCCTACACCCGAAATCGCCTGCAGCCCTAAAACTCGCTGAGACCCGTACACCCCAACAGAAGCCTTGCAGCACCCTTGAAGAGAGTGTATAGAACCCCTAAAGAACCCTTGAATATCCTTGAATGGTAGAAACACTGTAGAATCCCATTCTAAACCCTGAACCCAATCCCTAAACCTTATTTCAAAACCTTTATGACCCTTAGCCCATATAGAAGCCTTACTTGGAGGGTCGGGGGACTTAAGAAGTAGCTATTATATAAAGTTATAAGTTCCTTTATGGGGCCCTTAAGACAACTACTTACTAAGTCCCCCGACCCTCCGAGCATAAACCGTACAAGCCCTAAAAAGCAATAAACCTTAAGCCCATGTAGAAGCCGTAGCGAAATCTTGCAAGGATCCAATCGAGATCGGCCGAAATCTGAACTTTGCGCTGACGGGCGCCTCGGCATCACTGGGACTCTAATGGGTTTGGGGTTTAGGGATTACTTGGAGGTTCATGGGTACTTTTAAAGTAGGGTTATAAGTAGGATAAGTATAGCTACAACCCATGTTAGAGGACGTAGAACTCCACGTATAACTACCCATGAACCTCCAAGTAGGGCTGAGGATGTAGGTGCTAATTGTGTTGAGGCGCTTAGGGTTTCTGGGTTGGGGTTTGGGGTTCTAAGCTTTGGTCTATGTTGAGCCTTAAAGCCTTTTCTTCTTCTCACCGGTTCAGAGTTGTTTTGTTGGAGCATGTATCTGTTTGTACTTGGAGTTTACGGCATTCAGAAGCCTACATACTTCAACACACCACGATGCAAACCTTGCAAGCCCCATGAAAGGTTCCAAGCATTGATACCCTAGGCCCTAGGGACAACCTCAACTCCTTGGCGGCTAACGCAAGTGCCAACCCTATGGTTCACATTGCTTGTCTACTCATGGGTGATTCGTAAAGGCCCTCCCACAATTACAGCGACGATGACATGTTGCGGGTGGCACGGCGGGATTGCTTGCAGCCGGTTTGGGTCTGAATTTTGGCAGGGGGCTTGGGTGTTTGCGGGCCCTATGGGTTTTTGGGATTGTAGATGCCCGTGGATGACATTGACATAGGATGCTGTCGTGATCCCAGGTGACACATTATACACTTTGCGCTGGTCCGTGGATATGGTGCACGAGCGTTTCCAGGCCTTTCGGTTTGCCTTGCAGCGTGGACCCTAAACCCCAAAAGCCCTTCCACACAAACTTCTAGACATGCAGCCGCGGACCCTGAACCTGCACCTCTCAAGCCCGTGCCTGCCCTAAACGCCTGCAGGCCTAAACCCCTAAACCCTTAAATCTCTGATAGATACTTACAAAGCCCAGCGCTAAGCAAGTAGAACTATGGTTACAGTACATATCAGCGCCTCTCGACATCCCCTCAACTTGCACGTAAGGGAACCTTTACAGAGCCTCAACCTTAAATTCTAAATGCTACAAGCCTAAAGCCCCAAACCCTAACCCTAAACCCCTTTACCCGGAACCCTCAAATCCTAAACGCTCAAACTCTCTAAATGCTCAAAACCCATCTATCCGCCCGAAGGCCTAAACCTTAAACTCCTCCAGCCTAACCCCTAAACCCAGAAAACCCTAAGCACGCCGTAAAACCTCTGAACCCCAAACACCTGCACTTAAACTCCCCACCCCCTAGCCCCGAAACCCTCAAGACCCACTAAAGCCCCGTAAGCCCCGAACTCCAGACTCCCTGGCAGCCCGTGAGGCACACCTCCCGAGACTCCTAAACCCATCAAAATACCCCCCTAAGACCCCTTAAATCCCAAAAGCTCTAGAACCCCTAAACCCTAAACCCCTAAACCCTAAACCCCTAAACCCTAAACCCTAAACCCCTATAAACACCTGGCAAGTCGAGAGGCCGCTAGCGGCCAGAGCCTGGCAGAGGCTCTTCAGCTCAAGCGCGAGCACTTCTGGTTCGAGGTCGGGACTGGCAGAGAGCCCAAATACCCCCCCCTTAACTAAGGAATACCTAGGGCTCCCGAAAGGGATCTTTAAGGGATCTATAGGTTTAGAGGGTTTATAGGGTTTAGGGATTAGGGGTTTAGGGTTCGAGGTCGGGACTCGCAGAGTGGGGTTTAGTTCTCTAAGGTTTTAGGGGTTGAGGGGTTTGGGGTCTAGGGCTTGAAGGGTTCAGGGTTTACAGGGTTTAGGGTTCGAGGTCGGGACCGTTTAGGGGTTTAGAGGTTTGAGGGTTTAGGAGGTTTGTAGGTTTTATAGGGTTTGTGGTTTTAGGGATTGGAGTTTACAGTAGGGTTCGAGGTCGGGACTCGCGGAGTGGGGATGAGGGCTTGAAGGGTTCAGCGGTTTGGGGCTTGAAGGGTTTAGGGTTTGCAGGGCTTAGGGGTTTTAGGAGTTTAGGGATTGGAGTTTAGATCCGTCAACTTTTCAAGCCAGACCCCTGAGTGTGCAGTTGCTGCAGGCTACTTCCAGGACTCAAAACAAAAAAATCCGTCCACTTTCCAGCTTAGACCCCTGAGTGTGTAGTTGCTGCAGGCTACTTCAAGGACTCAAAACAAAAAATGGTCAACTTGTCAGATTAGACGCCTTAGTGTGCAGTTGCTGCACGCTACTTCGGGACTCAAAACTGCAGGCTACTTGAGGAACTCTAAACAAAAAATCCGTCAACTTTTCAAGCTAGACCCCTGAGTGTGCAGTTGCTGCAGGCTACTTCCAGGACTCAAAACAAAAAAATCCGTCCACTTTCCAGCTTAGCCCCCTGAGTGTGTAGTTGCTGCAGGCTACTTCAAAGACTCAAAACAAAAAATCCGTCAGCTTGTCAGGTTAGACTCCTCAAGTAGCCTGCAGCAACTGCACCCTCAGGGGTCTAAACTGAACAATTGACGGAATATTTGTTGTAAGTTCTTGAAGTAGCCTGCACTTTTATTCGGCAGCCGTGAATATCAAGCAAACTTTTCGAGCTTTTCGAGTAGTTCTCTCCTCTTCGTCAAGTGGCAGCCTTGGAAAGCAGCTTCTAAAACTTCAGCTTGCTTGCATCCTTTCAGGTCCGTCGATCATGGCAGCTTACCCTGGCCACGAACTCAGGTACCTCCGAAGCTTTTGATGCCAACCCGTTCCTTGACCAGGTCCTATTTTTGCTTTTCCGCCGCACGTCCCGGCCGAAGATGGGCCTAAGTTTGAGTCGCCGCCTCGAACAAAAGTAAACACCGTTAACGTTCAATCTTGTGTTAGTCTGAACTCAGGTATCCGGGCTGGTGGAGCCGCCGCATCGCGAACGAGGCCGGAGCACAGTAACTTAGAGGATAATTCTCGAAAGACTCCGTCGGCAGGTGTATGATCGCGAAAAAAGGTTCCACAGCAGCCTCGGCGAAGGCTCGGTTTTAGCGATCGATGTCACCTAATTTCTTTTCCTGTGTTTTATTGCCAGACGACTACATTTACACCGAATACGAGAAGGCAGGATTCCGCCGGCATCGAGTGAGTACATATCTGGTTGATTCAGGTGCGGGACTGGCCGACCACCAGCGCGGACCACTTCATCTTGCCGATGGTCGTGGTGATCGAGTTTCGTCTAAGGCCCACTTCGGTTTCTGAGCTTCGCTTCGTTGCCTTCGCAAGTGCACCTGACAGGACACTCGAACACCACTGTCGGCTGATGGAGCTGGATCCGCCGGGGCCTTGGACTCGCCGTTAGCACCCTCTTCACCCCTCGTCGCTCAGGCACCGGCTTAGGAAGAGGAACACTCCAGAAGAGCTCTACTGGCAAATGATGTGGCCACGACGCGCGGTCCTCGATCTAGCGAGGTTCATTCTGCTCCACGAACCGCGTGCCACTCAGGTGAGCGCGACGACTGACGAGGATCAGGAGCATCGCCGGACGCGCAGTATAAAAGCAAGAAGGTTTGCATAGGTTTTTGATAATAAAGTTTTTGATTTGTAGAGAAGGAAGAAGCTTCAACATAGACGATGCGCATTAAGTAAGTAACACAAGCATTCACGACGCACCAACAGTACTGCGTAAGGTGTAGTTGTGTTCGAACTTTTGTAGGAGGTATGTGTACACATAGAATACATATACATATATATATATAAATATATATATATATAGACATATATATATATATATAAATATGTACATATACATAGAAACACATAGACATAGATATAGAGTATGTCTACATGGGTCGGTTCACATGTACATGTATATGTATATATATATATATATATATATATATATAAGGTCGGGACTCGCAGAGTAGGGGTTTAGGGCTTGAAGGGGTTTGGGGTTTAGGGGCTTATAGGGTTTATAGGGTTTATATGGTTTATAGGGTTTTGGGGTTTAGGGATTAGAGTTTAGGGATTGGAGTTTAGGGTTCAGAGTTTAGGTTTTAGCATCCACAGGGTTTGGGGTTGGGATTCAGGGTTCAGTGCTTAGGACGCCCACAGGGCGGGTACCTCTTGTTTTGGGCGTGGAGGGTTTTAGAGGGTCATATAGGGTCTATGGGGGGGTTGACCCCTTTTTTCCGCAGCTGCGGGGTATGTTTTCAGGGCTACACATAAACTAGAGGTGCAAAGATGTACTTGTACCATTGTCTCTTGTAGTATACTTTGTTTAGACAGGAGACTGCTTCTGGTTTGCTTTGTGCGCGTCAGCTTTTTACGTAGGGCCTTGTGAGAGGTTTCATGGGCTCTGGACTCTGTGGAGGACTTAGGGGGTTTTGTATGTCAATGTGGGTTCTATCTATTTCCTGGGTCTGTTTTGATCTGAGGTTTCGGCAGAACTTTAAACCAACAGCGCTAAACCCTACACACCGTTACCCTCATTAGTACACCCACTCCCTGAAAATGGGTGATAACTTAGTTGTAACAGTTGAAAGACCTCCTGAGCTCCCTAGGCAGTAGTCTACATGAAAGGAGTTTGGAGTCTTTCAGTGCCTAAGCCCTAAACACTAACCCCTAGACCCTAAACCTCTAAACCCAAAACCCGGAACCCTAATCCCCTAAACCTTAAACCCATGCTCCCCAAGAAGTGAGATCATCTCCTAAGATATCACATTTCTCTTAGTGATATCTGAGGAAGGATCATCATCCCACTTCTCAGGGTATTGCCTGTGCCGCTCCCAAACTGATTGTTTCGGTTTAGGGTTTAGTGTGTAGGGGTTTAGGGTTAGTACTTATAATTATTCCCCATTCCTCCATTCCCCACTAACCAAAGGTAAGTACATTGCTCACCGAAACCCTAAACCCTAACTCCCAATACGTTGCAGGACCAACCTGGCCTGCCCCCCCTGCAAAGCAACTGGACGCCCGCGGTGGACGCCGCTCGGTGAAAGCTTCTTCCCAGAGAGCCCAATACCCCTTAATTAAGGAATATAGCTTAAATCATAATATTAAGCCCTATATAGAGTTTAAGCCATATTCCTTAATTAAGGGGTATTGGGCTCTCTGGGTTAGGGACCCTGCAAAGGACGTAAGCATAAGCATGTTATAGGGATGTCCCTACCTTGTTGGGCTTCAGTATATGGTTGAGGGCTGCAGCGATTTCGGGTTCTAAGGCACGGGGTCCGAAATGGGAGTTTCCGACAATGGGGGACCCTAACTACCCTAAATAGCAGGATCCTTATTATGAGGACCCCAAAGCAAGGTACCCCTAATTTTGGAAACTCCCAAATCATGCAGATCTTGAGCCCCCTTGAACCCTCACGGCGTTTTGCATCTAAAAATAGGCTGTCGAACACCTTATAAGGTGTTCGACAGCCTATAAAGACCCCCAAGCCCCCAAAACCCAAACCAGAAATACCCCTTGATGCCCCAAAAAGTTCGAAAAAGTCACAAAAGCCTAAACCCGAAACCCCCAAGCCCTAAACCCTATGAGTCTCAGAAAGAAACCCTGCTGCTGAGGAGGGTTTCCTGGAGATCCCGAAAGATCCTGCCCGCAGCCTCTCGAAGCGCCCCGGTTCTATAAGAGCCTGCTATAGTCTCCTCAGGAATTATTTTCTATTTTTGTTCATATAAATCCAGAGAGAGTATTGAAACATGGTATTTTCATTATGGTTCTAAGGGGGGTATAGCTTGAACACTACAGAGTCTAGGGTTTAAGGTCGGATATGAGGTTTGGGTTCAGGCTTTAGGGATTAGGGTTTAACCCTGAAGGGGCGCGTAAATAATTACCAGCAGTATTCCAAAGGGTGCCTTAGTCTAAGTATACTATAACAGCCACGGTTTCTAAAAAAAACTTGAACAACTAGCCAAGGAATCCTTGCAGGTTCAGGGGTTAGGGTTTGGGAAAACAAGGTCATACAGGCATACAGGTCTCATAAAAGGCTTTGCGCGTTGATTTTTGAAAGGGGCTTGCATTTTCTTGTATTGTATATAATGGGTTTAGGTTTAGACGGGATGTGTGACTGGTGAGTATAGGGTCTAACAGGGCGCTTTATCAGGGCGTTGTACCTCTAGGTTCATTGGTAGTTTAACGAGGGGTAGACATACTTGTTTTGGGTTACAGGTAGCTACTGTCATAGCTGCCATGCAACTGGAATATGTGTGCCCATGATCCTCAATGTAGCGGTCTACATGAGAGTTTGAGGAAAACTCGGAACCCTTGACATCGACTCTAGATAGTAAGTCTCTTATTCCAGAGGCAGCGGTTTCTAAATTCACATGGAACCCTTAAGCCAACTTTTAGAAACCCGTATACAACCTTTCACCAGCTTTTACAGTCCCCCATAAAGCCCTCTAAACCCTAAGCCCTGAACCCTAAAACCCTAAGCCCTAAACCCTAAAACCCTAAACCCAAACCCTAAACCCTAAACCCTTAACCCTAAACCCTAAACCCTTAACCCTAAACCCTAAACCCTTAACCCTAAACCCTTAACCCTAAACCCCCCCATAAAGCCCTATGAAGCCTTTGAAAATCTCGTCTTCCAGGGCCTGCGCCTGCTGCGGCCGACGGGGACGCCTTGGAAAGATGTTGAACCACGAGGCAGCTGAGGGCTTAGGGTATAGGTTAAAAGGGGCCCCCACCCTGTAATAGTGGTATAATAGGAGTAGAATAGGGCCCTAATATAAGGATTAGGGTTGGGGCCTTGAAGGTTTAGGGTTTAGGTTCTGTATGGGTTTAAGGGTGTTATGCTTGAAAGATCAGGGGCCTTTGTGTGGGTCGCTATAGCCAGAATTACGTATCTCACAACCCAACCCCAAGAAAGGTACCAAGGACCTTAGGTACGAAGTAAGCCCGTAAAGGAATTCGAAACCCTGGGAACCCCTTCCTTAGGACCTTCTAGACCCCTGAAAGGAAGCCTTATCACTACAGAACCGCCTACTAAACCCCATAAAGGAACCCTCAAAGGATCCCTCAAAGGAACCCCTCAAAGGAACCCTTTCAAGGAACCCTTGAAAGGAACCCTTAAAAAACCCTTTAAAGGAACCCTTAAAGGAACCCCTGAAAGGAACCCATAGAAGGAACCCTTAGAAAGAGCCCTTAGACGAACCCTTAGAAGGAGCCCTTAGAAAGAGCCTTTAAAGGAACCCTGAGAAGGAACCCCTAAAGGAACCCTGAGAAGGAACCCCTAAAGGAACCCTTAGAAGGAACCCCTAAAGGAACCCTTAGAAGGAACCCCTAAAGGAACCCTTAAAACTTAAAGCCCTTAAATGAACCCTTAACGGAATTAAATGAACGCTTAAAGGAAGCCATCCCGAGGCCCGCTGCCGCCACGTGGGTGGCAGTGGCAACTTCTGCTGCGAGCTCTGTGGGAAGTGCTTCGAGACGGAGGCTGGTGGCTTTTGTCTTTAGGGTTTTAGGGGTTTAGGGTTTTAGGGTTTTCGGGTTTTAGGGGTTTTAGGGGTTTAGGGGTTTAGGGGTTTAGGGGTTTTAGGGGTTTTAGGGGTTTAGGGGTTTAGGGGTTTAGGGGTGTAGGGCTTAGGGTTCTAGGTTCAGGGTTTAGGGTTTAGGGTTCCGGCTTTGGGATTTGGTAATTGGGATTTGATTTGGGCTTGGGGATCAGGGTTCAGGGGGTTTGGGATGTGGGATTTGCAGACCACTGAACCCCAATCTTTTCAATCCGTCATAGTTTCACACTCAGACCTCAAGAGGCATCCCGGGCGAGTGAAGTTTGCCATTGAGGGCACCGTGAGCAGCGATCCCGGATTTCAGGGTTTAGGGGATTTAGGGCCCCTAAACCCTAGACCCACCTACCCCCCCCTAAACCCCAATCCCTAAAGCCCCCAAGCCCCCTAAACCCTAAAAGTTTGGAGGCTTCAGGGGCTTCAGGGGCTTGCGAGTTTCAGGGTTTGGTGTGGGGCTTTGCGGTTGACGGTTCGTGCAAAGAAGGGACTCCTTGTCCGGAGCCCTTGTATTCCAATGCATCGCTTCTACTGCTACTACTGCTCTACTACTACGACTACTACTACTACTACTGCTACTACTGCTACTGCTTACTACTACTACTACTACTACTACGACGACTACTACTACTGCTACTGCTACTGCTATTACTGCTACTACTATTGCTACCACTACTACTGTTCTATTAATACCACGGCCTCAATCCTTTTCTATACAGCCCGTATTCTTACACCACTAACTCCTGAAGATAGGCGGGGCCGCTGCTGCAGACCCCATTTACCAAGAGCCTCAGCCTAAGTCTCCGGAAGCTGACCAAACCCCTCAGCCAACCAAAACCAAACACCGAAGAGGTTTGTTGTTTGCCGGTATGTCATAAAGGGATCCTCAGTCTGATTTAAGCCATACCTTAACTCGGAATATCCTACCTTTTTCAGGACTTATATAAGGAAATCATAATAAGGAACCCCAAAAAAGTAGGTTATTCAGGGTTATGGTATTCCTACACTAAGAGGTGTTGAGGTCGCTGGGTTCCTGGATCCCTGTTCCTCAAAAACTCACCAAGCTCACCCATTCCAAATCTCATAATATAGATGCCTTGATAAGAATTATCTATAATCAAAAACCCTACTCTAATTATTGAGGCCCCTATGTAATCCCTCAACCTTAAGCCTACAAGCCACAACTCCTCAACCAGAAAACCATAAACTCCTGAGTCGTAGCTCCCTGTATCCACAAACTCCGAAACCTCAAATCCTGACCCTACTCCCCCTAGACCCCAATCCAAAGCCTTACACCCTGGGCCTCTAAGCCCATAGAACCCCCTAAGTTCTAAACCCCTAAACCCTAAAACCCATCAGTCCCCTAAGCTCCAAAACCCTAAACTGCCCTAAACCCTAAACTCTCCACGCCGACGCAGGAGCTGGCGTTGAGGCATCAGGATGTTACCGGGCACTTCGGCGAGATCGTCTCCAGGGACGAGGTGGCATCTTTAGTATAGGGGCCTTCATAGAAAGCCCAATACCCTACCCCTTAATTGTGGATTTAATATGAAGCCCTGCATAATTTAAGCCATATTCCTTAACTAAGGGGTATTGGGCTCTCTGGTGATGCATGTCGCTTCGCACGGATTTTGGGGGTTTATGACTATGTTTTGTCTTGCCGGAGTGCTAAGTAAGGCGGTCTGAAGCAGTGGTACGGCTGGCCTAACTCTTTATGCTTCCATCTTTACTCGATCTTCATGATGGTTCCTTAAAGAAGATATCCTGAACACCTGTGTTGTTGTGGCTTATTAAGGGAAGCTGTAGTTTAAATCATTTTCATTGATATATACTTCGACCCCTAAATGAAGGCGAAAACTTTCAGCGAGCTCAGCATTCAGAATCCATGGTTGTGGGTTTAGGGCAAGGATAACGTAAACCCTCAACCCTAAACCCTAAAACCCCAAACCCTAAATCCCCTAAAGCCCTAAGCTTCAGGTGATTACCTTCCTGGAAAAGACCGATGGGATTCCCGGCCTCCGACGGCGGAAGTTCCTGCGACGTGGCCGAAGGTGACTGCGGAAGCTCTCCGGCCGGCTACTTTTAGATGATTATTGTTTGCTTCTTTCTTGCTTCTTTTTTAAAAGCCTAAAACAGATTTTTTTAACAACGCCTACAAACCTATGTTTTTTAAACCTGTATACCTATACAGTTGTTTCTTGCTGCTCTTTTCAGGTCAGGCCAGTTTTATAGAATTATTTCTTTTCAATTATTTTCGGATGACTGTTATACTTATTTGTGGCTATATGACTATGATGACGATTGTTTTTGCTGCCGTTTTTTTCTGAGGGTGAGCCCAAACTTCAAACTCCCCACGCAAACCTGGATGCACGTCCTTGCCGAGGCCTGGATGGTCAATGTGTGGAGAGAAGCCGCCAGCGCACCGGCTCTGCTGCTTGTATTGTGGGCTGGTTGAAGTTGCTTTACTTGCACATCTTTGTAGCCACAACGATGCTCCTCTTCCGTCGGTGTCCTACTTCGTGCTGCTGAAGGTCTCACATGAGATCCTTCAATGTTCGGTTGGACGTCCAAGGAACGACTGACAGAGGGTACACCTGTCGGCGTGTGGGAGAAGAACCGACGGTCTGGACCAGGCGAGGCGAGGGCACCGCTGGTGTCTGCCGCAAATGGCGCATCTCAAGGACTCGACGACGCTCACTACAGAGCGGAGCAGATGCTTTTCTTCAGCGCAAGACTTTCCAGCGAACCCGTCCTGGCGGGCCATGCTGGAAGTGGCGAGGGAGCTGTCACCGACCTGTTCGGTGCTCGGCCGGAATGGCAACAGTGTATCTCAGTGGTGGAATCCAACCGTCGGCAAGACAAACAAACACCAGAGCTACAGCTGGGGTCTCTTGGTGTGGCTGGCACCCTGCCGAGATTGAATGCCGGGACACGTGAATGGAGGTTTGGTGCTTGCGATAGTGTCTGCTGCGGTATCGTCGTATATGAGCCGCTCAGTTGACTGTAAGGCCACAGCCCCACACCCCGAACTGCGACACTCGAACGCTAAACCCATACACCCTAAACCGGAAAGACGCTAAGCCCCTGAAGCACCTAAGCCCTAAACACTGAACCCTTAGAGCCTAAATCCTAAGCCTTACAGATCCGGTACGGAGCCTTCATAGACCCACCATAAGGAGTCCTTGGAAAACCTGTTTGAACAAAACCACAGCCGAGGGTTGTTCTTCGTCCATGGCCGAGCGTTGAAGCACGAGCAGCCTCTGGCAAGTCTCTTGGCTCTTTTGTAGGTTTGGGCAGGGTTTCAGGTCATGGCTTATGGGGTTTAGGATGATAGAAGGGTTTAGAACTTGGAGTTGTGGCAAGGTTTAGGGTAAGTCTCTGGGCTCTTAGCATGCTTTGGAGGGTTGAGGTTTGTGGATTTAGGGGAGGGTTTAGGGTTTCGCTTCGGGGGTTTGGATTTCTAAACATTATATAATCAATTAAATATACCTTGACCAATATCAAATATTAGAAGTACCCTTAAGGAATCATCAGGGCTTTAGGGTTCAGGACGGTCTTTGTATATGCATCTCCCGAAAGTGTTTGCACACCTTCCGCTTCCGAGGGGGAGCAGAATTGTGCAGCCAATTGGGTTAGGGTCAGGGGTTTCAGGGTTTAGGGTTTCAGGGTTTAGGGTTTCAGGGTTTAGGGTTTCAGGGTTTAGGGTTTCAGGGTTTAGGGTTTCAGGGTTTAGGGTTTAGGGTTTAGGGTTTAATTGTGTCAGGGATTTCAGGTTGCGGGGAGCGGTCTCAAGGGTTCAGGATGTAAAAGGTCGGACATAGGTGCATGTGGAAACCGGAGCAACCAAACTTGCGCATTGCTGAAGGAATAAAGAAGACTATAATTACTTAAAGGATCAGGGGACTTACTAAGTAGGGTTATAAGTAAGGTAACTATACCTATACGTACTTATGACCACATAGGGTACTTATATCCATACTTACAAAGTCTCCTGATCCTATGATTAGTAGCACTGATCAATGTTAGGAAGCCCTCCGGTTTTCAGTCATCATCCGTAGAGTTGAGGGGTATCAGATCCCCAAGCCCTATATACACTTGTAAAGCCCCTACAATCCAGCATCGAACCCGAACCAGATCCGAATAAACCGACTGTTTGTGGAGGATGATGACACGAATCGCTTCTTAGACGGGCCTAACAACGAAATATTCCCCCATCTGTGCCTGGAGACACTTACTTAACTCAAACCGTAATCCCCAAGTTGGGCTGAGTTGGGTTTGGGTGCAGGGTTCAGGGTAAAACGCTATAGGTTTAATCCCTTTGGCCTCAGCCTCAGCTGGGATCATGTTACTTACAAGGACCATTGTATTAATCATCGGAGCTCATGACAGTGAGGAGCTTTGCTTGGAGAGTCGACACCCTTAAACCCCCAACTCGCAAATGCGCCAAACCCCTACAGTAGATGCTTTACTTGGAGGGTCCGGGGACTTAGTAAGCAGTTGTCCTATAGAGTTATAGGTACCATGACCCCAACGGGGCCCTTCTAAGCTACATTCTAACTCTAGAAACTGACTACTTAATTACTAAGTCCCCCGAGGCTCCGAGTACGGACCCTAAAGACCCTCAAGGCCCTCACATCCCTGACGAGCCGACTCACTTTATTCCTGCTGCATAGGGTTTAGGGTTTTTGGGCCTAAACTCCTTAAACCAATGTCTTCAAAGACACCGAGGCCTGATCTCTACTCGGAGGATCAGGGCACGCATATCCTAATGATCGTTGGAGTTGCAGTCGAGATATAGGTCTCCTCCGCATCGTTCCTTGATTCGTGACTGGCTTTGAGGCACTTTATCGAATCGCTTTGAAGTATGCAGCTCCACGTAAGTACCCCCAGAACAGCCTGACAACCCGAAACCCCAGAATCAACACGCGAATCCCTAACTCCCAAGCCCCAAAACCACCGAGCCCCTAAGGCCCAAACCTCTGAACCCCTCATCCCCTAATCCCCAAAACCGCGCCCCCCTAAACCCTTAAACTCCTAAACTCCTAAACTCTTAAGCCCGGAACCCAAACCCCTAAAAGCCCCTAAACTCACCAAACGAGTGTGTTTTGCTGGCCTGGGAGGCAGCTGTTCTCGCACCATGGCCGGCGAGGACTTCGGAACGAAAGACTTCGCCACGTCCTCGGGGATGTTGCAACAAACCTGACGGGCTTCAGGGTTTTTTCAGGTTTGTGCTTGGGTGGATTTTCAACAAGTTGGAAAACCCTGGCTTTCCAAAACGGACGAAGAGGGATTACCTTGAGTCTGTCGGCAGTTTGCGCTTAGCCAGTTGTGTCAGAGGGGTTACTTGTCCAGAGAGTGGTTTGGGGTTTTGGTGCGTATTCCTGTCGCACGGAATCCCAAGCGTTGCCAGGATCGTAACCCCAATCGCTGTAGATTGGCAGTGTGCTCGAAACTCGAGCTATGCCTGGCAAGACATGGGCTCCTTCTGCCGGTGCTCTGTTGGTGCTTCTTTGCGCACAAGTCACTGGCCCTTGGTGCTACCTGTTGTTCCTGCTCGACAGACCTGACTGGAAAGAAAACGTCATGCAAATGCGGACACGCCTGCCTCCTCCGCGGCCAAATCGAGAGCAATGGTTGGCCTCTTGGTCAAAAGTAGCGCAGCTGCACGCGCGGTGTCATCGGAATTGGCTGTGCTCTCCGGAGAGGGCGGGAGAAACGCTGGGGCATTTCTGTGGGCACACTATTAAGGCCTTTGGTATCTTTGTCGGCGGCACCAGTATCAGGCGGGAATTAGCGGAAACGCAGTTTCCCCGACTCTTGTGGCAGATTGAGCATGCATGCTCGCATGCTCTCGGCGGTGATATTATTCTAGAACTTGTGGGATCCGCAGTTCGTGATACTGCCAGTTTTGGGTCTTTCAATGCTGCAGATGGTGATCTCGACATCCAGGTCTCCAGGCGACCGGGTTCCGGGCGAGATGATGAGCCTTTCACAGAGACTGACAAGCGACGCGTCGCGCAGAATCTGGAAAAGCTGGAGTGTATCTCCAATGTGACCGTCGGGAGGATTGCTATCAAGTTTGCTGTGGGAGCAATACCTTCGCAAGTTGTTGATCTTGTGCTTTGGAGGGAGCGACCAGAGGAGTTTCCAGCACTTCGCGGAGGGTCGAGCTTCTGCGACAATTCAAAGAGGATCAACGCTTTCTTGGATCAAACACCTGCCGCAAGACATGCCATCATTGCGATTAAGAGCTATTTCAGCCGTGACCGTCCCAAAGGGCTCCTGCTTGAGGCCATTGCCTGGCGGCTGGGGTCCATGAAGCCGGAGTTCAAGACGATTTCGAGAAAAGTCGTGGGAAGAAGCGAGCTGGAACGTGTGGTGGCGTCTTTCACATTTTTCGAAGCGATGTTTGAGGAACTCCGGAATTGGAAACGGTCACCTCATTTCAGCCGCGAGCTTCAACAAGATTTGGCTATGCTTTCGGACAAGAAGAGGGGCGAGTACACTGCGGGCTTCGAGGAAATCGCGCGCATCACGGATGGAGAGCTTGCATTCAAATTTCTGTTGGGTGCATGTGAGCTTCGAGCAAGAAACCTCGCGGAGCAGAACTGCCACAAGGTTCCCGATGCAGCGGAGGAAGCACTCAGATATTATTTCTCCACGCTCCTGGAACAAGAAAGCTGAATGAGAGAGATGAAATCTGTTTGTGGCTGCATGCTTTGTCCTGCAGCTTCTGCTTTGAGTTCCATGATCTGTCAAGAGGCGAGCCCGCCGCTTTGAACAAAGGGACTTGAACCATTTTCATTCGCTTTCCCTGTTAGTCCCTCCATACTTATACTTCATGTACCCCAAACCCTATGCTAAGCATATTATGGCCGCTATACAGTCAGAAAGCCTTTTGGAACAGCTCCGACATGGAAGCAAAGTTGTAGATACTGCGCTTCCTATATGGGAGTTTCTGCATGTCAGAGATCCTGGACCCCAAGCTTGCCCCAAGCCATACGCTTCAAATCCGAAGCCCTGCACTGCACCTTTGAAGCACTAGGATCATTGTTTCAAGAACCCTTCAGAAGCGGAGCATCGTTCTTGGAAGCCTGCCCCCAAAACCTTGTCTAATAATCCGATGAAGGCACCCTATCAGTCCGTACAGGACTGTTATGCGACTTTCATAAAACCCTTGTAGAACTGTACAACCCCGTAACGAAGGGGAGCAGCAGACAAAAGCACCCCAATTGAATTCGAGGTCCAGTTTGCATCTGCCACTGAGCCCCAAGCCACCGAAGTTTAAGTGCCCAAGCACTTAAAGCCTGAACACTGCAAGCTCTAGACCCCTAACCCAAGCACTAAAGCCTTAGACTCGAGACACCCCCTATATAGGGGGTTGCCAAAATTAGGGTCCCTTTTTGGGTCCTTGAGGCCTTTCCACCCGCAAAAGAACAAAAGCATTCAAGCCCCATAGGCTCTAAGCAACACTAAACCCTAAACCCCAAATCCTAAGCGCTAAACCTTAAATCCTAACCCTTACACCCTAGATCCTCTACCCTACATCCTAAACCCTAAACCCAAACCATCAAACAACAGAAGCACCCTTGAAGCGCAGCCGAGGGCTGCTCCCTGGCCCAGCGCCGAACCGAGGGAACCCGAGCTCCGAGTGGCGGGTCTCTTGGCTCTTGAGGGCTTCTGGGAGGGTTAGGGTTTAGGGTTTAGGGTTTAGGATGGTTTAGGTGAGGGCTTCTGGGAGGGTTCAGGTGAGAGTGTAACAGGATAAGGTACTATGATATAGGGCCTTATAAGAATTAGAGTATTGGGTTCCTTTATGAGGATGGTTCAGGTGAGGGGTGGCGGGCTTGGGCTTTAGGGTTTGGGGGTATGTAGGAGTTAGCCACCTGGGGTTGGCTTTGAGGGATTTCGCATTGTTTCTACGAGTGGTTAACAATGATAAACGCAGCTCAACGGGAAGTCCTCCGTCTGGAGTTTTGATCCTGAGAGTTGAGGGTATAAGATTCCCCAGCCCTATTATACACGCCCAACCAGTACAAAGCCCGAGTCAGACCCGAATGAACCAGCTGTTTGTCAAGATTGAGCTCGTAGACGCGCCTGATGACGAAGTAAAAGGCCCCCTCTATACTACAGGGCATGAATAACTACCTATACTTTTCTGGGGGCTCTTTGTTTGAATACAATATGGTGAGTCCCAAAACCCTATTCTAATTACTAAGGCCGTAGCCGCATTATAACCTCAGGCCTCACTTTCAGGTGTGGGTTCATTCTTAACTCCCCCTTGCACTATAGAGTCTAGTCGCTGTGCGGCTCTAACACCCTTAATTGAACAGCCCAAACCACAAGAACCTGCAAACAACCGACAAGTCATGCGACTGTCAGTTCCTGTTGTATACTCCTCATACCAATGCCTTTATGAGCCCTTGTGGCACCAGGGCTTAATCTCTACTTTCAAGATCAGGGTGCGGATATCCCAATGCGAGCAGTCTGAACCTCCAAGTACCCCCCAAGACAACTTGACATGCCAAAACCGAAACCCGAAACCCCAAATCCGAAAACCAACAAACGGGTATCTGGTCCTATTTCGGGAGGCAACTCTTCTCGCACCATGGCGCGCGAGGACTTAGGAACGAAGCACTTCGCCACCTCCTCGGTGATGTGGCAGCAAAGCTGGACTTCGGGAGTTGAGAGGTATTGAGTTCGAGAAAGCAAAAAAATTATGCGCTTCAGGGTTTGTAATTATGTTTGACTTTGGGTGGCTTCCCAAAGTAATAAGCCCGAACGGCCAGAACACTGGCACTCCGCAAGGACGAAGAGGGATGCCCTGTCTAAAAGACTCACGGCTAAACAAAGTCCGTGGATCGAGAGAATTGGGATTTCGGGGCACTGTGGCACAGAGTCCGAAGCGTTGCCCGACTCGCAAGCCCAATCGCTGTAGATTGGCAATCTGCTCCACAATCGTGCCATGCCTGGCAAGAAGTCGGCAAGTTCTACCAGTGCTCGATTGGTGCTTCTGTGCGTGCCATTTGCCGCCCCTTGTTACATACTTTTGGATCTCGGCGCGCATGATTGGAAAGAAAACGTCTTGCAAGTGCGAGCAAACATGCCTCCTCCGAGGCCAACTCAAGAGCTATGGTTGGCTTCTTGGTCAAAAATCGCGCAGATGAAGGCACGATGTTATCGGAATTGGCTGAGCTCTCCGCAGCTGGCGGCGGAAACACTGGACAATTTCTCCGTGGACACTGTGATGGCCTTTGCTGCCACAGTTAGCGTTGGCGGCGGCACCGATTTTGTAACATCTTGGCATCGGATGATTTTGTCGAGCATTGAGCACGCATGCTCGCATGCTCTCGGCGGTGACATTGTTCTGGAATTAGTGGGATCTACAGTGCGCGACACAGGCAGTCTTGTGGGTTTCATTGGTAAAGATGGTGATCTGGACATCCAGGTCTCCAGGCGACCGGGTTCCGGGAGAGTTCATGAGCCTTTCACAGAGACAGACAAGCGACGCGTCGCGCAGAATCTGGAGAAGCTGGACTTTATCTCGAATGTGACCATCGGCAGGATTGCTATCAAGTTTGGCATAAGCTCATTTCTAAATGTCGATCTTGTGCTTTGGAGGGAGCGACCAGAGGAGTTTCCAGCACTTCGCGGAGGCTCGAGCTTCTACGACAATTCAAAGAGGATCAACTCTTTCTTGGATCAAACGCCTGCCGCAAGACATGCCATCTTTGCGATTAAGAGCTATTTCAGCCGTGGCCGTCCCAAAGGACTCCTCCTAGAGACCATTGCCTGGCGGCTGGGGTCCATGAACTTGGAGCTCAAGACTATCTTGAGAAGAGTCGCAGACGGAAGCATCCCCGAAAATCTGGGGTCCTTCATGTTTTTCTCAGCGATGTTCGAAGAACTCCGGGATTGGAAGCGTGCACCTCATTTCGGCCGCGAGCTTCAACAAGATTTGGCTATGCTTTCGGACAAGAAGAGGGGCGAGTACACTGCAGGCTTCGAGGCAATCGCGTGCATCACCGATGCAGGATTCGGGTTCAATTTATTGTTGTGTGCATCTGACGTTCGAGCAGTAGCAGCAACAGCAGTGACCCCCGGCAACATGTGGTGCCACAAGGTTCCGGCCGCTGCCGAGGAAGCACTCAGATATTATTTCTCGGCTTTCCTAGAACAAGAACCGTCGGACCGAGCACCGAAAAGATGAAGGTCTGCTTGCGGCAGCGTGTTCTGTCCTGCGACTTTGGCGTCGGGTTCCAAGATTTGTTATGAGGTGAGCACGCCGCAATGCTTTATCTGATAGTCTCTCTCTCTATATACTTGTACCCAAATGTGCACCAAAATCCTGTTCCAAGTATATTAAAAGGTCGCCTTATCACCAGAAGGTCTTTTAGAGCAACTGCGACAGGAAAGCAAAGTTGTAGATAGTCACCCTCCAAAGGACCGCCAAAACAAGGGTAGCCCCTAGTTTTCGGAAACTCCCATCTTAGCCTGGGTTCTTGTTAAGGAACTTAATTTAAGTTACCATAATAAGGAAACCCTATTATTTACGATAGATCCCTATTATGGTAACTTAAATTAAGTTCCTTAACAAGAACCCATCTTAGCCCTAAAGACTGAAACCCCCAGACTCTGAGTCCTAAGCCCGATCGATCCCTCACAGAACCGTTGTAGATCCTACGACTTAGATAGTGAACGGGGGAGCTTTAAATTTTTTGGCCTCATGAATTGGCTCTATCTTAGAAAGTTTGAACTTTTTGGTGCCCGGTATGTGGAGGAGGCCTCCGAAAAATCGAACTCCTACGGTTGATGATATAAATCCTGCATTACCCATTGTAAGGATCGGAATATACCATTGTTCCCATGGTTTAGGGCCCTTAAGGTAATGCAGGGTTTATATCATCAACAGTAAAAGGGCTTTAAGGGCGAACCGTTAATCCACTTGTATTAAAAGACAAACAGGCTGAAGGATGTAAATCTGCTTGTGAAGTACACTTGTAGTCGGATTGTATAAACCTGGATCGAAACCCTAAACCCGAGACCTTAAACCCTGAACCTCCGAGAAACCTGTTAGGTTCAACATGATGACTTTTGCCGGCCCTAAGCCCCGGATTCTTCAAATTGCATTCCGAAGTCTTGCAGAGCCCAAGAACGCCCGGTTCGTAGTATACAGTTAATTCTGAAGGGTTTAGGGTTTGGGGTTTCGGGTTTAGTCATTGTATAGGGCTTCTGATGATGGTTTGTGCTATACGCCTTATTTACAGAAGGGCTAGTGGGATCTCGGCCACCCCAAGGAGCCGTCGCGGCGCATGGAGCCAAATCCATTCTGAGCAGTGGCTGCGGAGTAGGTAGACCCAGAGACTCCAAGCCTCTTGAACCAGGCAGTAGACATGCTCATGTCCTCTAAAAAACAGGGATGGGAAGCAAGATCTCGAAGACTACATCATGCATGTCATGCATATGATTTAAGGTGCGCTCCTTGTATAAGATTACATCCGTTAACTATGCAGGATGCCCAGATGATGTAAGTGGTATTCCATGAGCGGTTTTGGAGTCTCTGGGCTGGAACCCCAGCACGGTGCAGGGTCCACAGCGCTCCCATTGAAAGAGATGGCTGCGGTAGGCCTTTGGCAAGTATAATGTACCTTGACATCAGAGGTCGCAGTTGCAAGCTGGGTGGACTTACCAGCGAACTCCGTTGTAGCATCATCGTTGTCAAGCTCAGCCCTAGAGGCTCATGAACTCTAAACTCTAAACCCAGCTCTCGTTTGAGAGGCCCGTGAAAAAGCTGGCAAGCAAGAACTTTTTAGCATGGTTCTGTAAGGGATAGGGCGAATACGGCTTCACGAAAAAATATGAGCATGATAGGGTCAGCGCTTTAAAGGGTCTCACCGGATTTCCAGAAGGAGTTGCAAGCGTTCTATGTGCGTTTCCAGCTGTGCATATGTGTATAAATATGTGCACATGCATATATATATATATACATATATATATATATACATATATATATATATATATATATATATATGTATATATATATGTATATATACATATATATGTATATATATATGCACACACACACACACACACATGGGTCTCATGAGGGTGTTTGGGTTGGAGGGTTTCGGAAGTAGCGTTCAGGCTGGGGCTTGACATGCACGGGCGATTCGGTTTAGGGTTGAGGTGCTAGTGTGTGCATGCGTAAGGGTTCAGGTGAGATCTTGAGGCTGTTTAAAATGAAGGGGTTGACCTCAAGGTCAGCCTTACACCCGAAACTCTCAACCCGAACACGACAAAGCCGCAACAGCAACGGTTTGTAGTAGTCACAAGTAAGTGTCTGCTTGATCACAGTCACATGGGGATTTCTTGCTCGGAGCCTGCAACCTTTCGGCAAGATGCGAGTTATTGGCAGTCTTTCCTTGAACAGCCCCACCGAATTCACGGACACTTGCGCACCCCGATAGAGTCTTGGAGTGCTACTATTCCCCTTCGTTCTCTTGCCGCTCGTTGCGGGACTAATAATGCCGCAGAAACCTTAACCCTAAACCCTAAACTTCCATAAACCCCTACACCGTGACAGGAAGGTCTTCAAGAGCTTCGACTGGATTTGGTGTCGACCTCGGCATAGCGGGATCGGGGAGGCCGGGGTGGTAAGGCGGAAGGGAACTAGGGCTTAGGGCTGACTAATAAAGGCTCAAGGCTTATAAAGCTTGGGGTTTGAGGTTTAGCGCTTAAGGCTGAAAGCTTGCGGTTTAGGGCTTGAGACTTAAGACATGCATAGTGGTGTTCTCTATACTGTAGAAGTCGAAGCCTTTTCAAAAAGCTCCCCTTCGAGGCTCCATGCAGCCGTTCTTTACAATATAGTCCCCAAAGGCCCCAAAGACTAGACTATTCCAGATTTTCAGGCCCCCCATATCCACCCTTATAGAACCCTCAAAAGAAACCACAACCACCTTTCTGTGCTCCATGGGAACTTTGTGGTGGTACACTCAAAGCGCCGAAGGTTTTGTGATTTAGGCTGTCGTGTGTGAAGGAGTCTCCATCAGAGTTGAGGGCTACTTGGAGCTTCATGGGTAGTTATAACTGGGGTTATAAGTCCCCGAATATGGGTTATAACTACAGTTATCCTACCTATAACCCTACTTTGAACGAACCTCCAAGTATGTGAAGAAGGTTCCACAAGTTTTCTAGGCCTCCCAGTGTGCCCTTTTTCTTTTTTGTAGTTCTAGGTTCCTTACAAAGGTTCCCAATACCAAAAAGGGATCCCTTTTTATTCCTAGGTTACTGGGCATCCTAGTTTTTTCGTTTCATATGATGAAGAGTTTCGGGGTTTCGGGCTTAGAGGGTTGTTACTAAGAGTCTACATTCTTGCGGACTCCAAGAAGCCCTTCGCCCATGCCTCCCACGAACACACCAAGATCCCGTAACCCTAAGCCCCAAGATCCTGAAACTCGAAGCTCTGCGAATCATCCTTGGAGTAGGGCGAGTAGGGTTTCGGCAAGCCCCGGGCTTTCGGTTCAGGGCTTAGGGTTTAAGAGCCTGCCCCGCATCTTGGTTTTGGGGTCGGGGGCTGTTGAGGTGTTCGGATTACTTGGGTACCCGTTCACTACGGAATCGCCTGTGCCGCAAAAGCACACGCACTTAAACCAAACGCACACCATGGAGTCGAAAACCAACACCTGTCGGACTCCAGAATAAGGCATCAAAACCAAAAAGAACCTAAGCCCTAAAACCCTAAAGCCGTACGCCCCAAACCCCAACACCTTTCTTGTAGTAGTGGACTCAAAAAATCCACTGCCTTTCCGATTGACCCCGAGGTTGGTACGGCCGTCACTACAGGCCTGGCTCTTTCTACGCTTTGGCGCTCGGGGTGTAGGGTTTAGGATTTTGATTTCGATATCTTCCTTATGGATTATGGTAGGGTTTAAGGCCCAGGTTCAGGGTTTGGGAGGTTAACATCGTACCCTCCGATCCCATAGGGTTGTAGTGCAGTATGCCGCACCTTACTTTCAGCATTCAGTCTCCTCCTGCAGAGGGCCTCCGAACCCTGAACTATGGTGAGGATCCCTCTAGAACTAGTGGCTTCAGGTAGGAATCTCTGGATGCTTAATCGGTTTTTGGAGGTGCTGTTTTGGGGATTAGTTTGTTTGGAAACTCCCACTTGCCAAACCCTAATCTCTCTCTCGAACCCTACATCCAGTATCCTCGAAGGCCAGAGACTGCAGTGGTCGGTTAACGGTTCCTAAACATACTTTCAGCAACGTACTACCGTTGTAATTATATTGAGACCCCCATATTAGTTGATGGTTGTGAAGTTCCTTTTTTAAGTTGTATTTGTAGACCCAGTTGCCAAGCCGGATGAAGAGTTAAAGTTATGGGAAGGATCATAGCTACCGTCATATGGAGGAAGGTCGCAGCAGCTTGTCGTCGCCAGCAACGCGTCTGAGGATTCTTGAGGCCTCGACGCAAGCAATGGAGGAGAAGGAGGCGCGGCTGCGCGAGATGATCCTCAGCCTCCAGGCAAAGGTCGCGAGACTGGAGAAGGTGATGGGTGGCAGGTCATGGGGCAACGCCTCCATATTGCCCCAGTCCTTGCAGAGCCTTTCAGAGTAATTAGTCCCTCTTGTGCAGCTCCGCCGTGCTTGGCGAGAGCCAGCGTCAATGCTCTTGTGCAGCTCCGCCGTGCTTGGCGAGAGCCAGCGTCAATGCTTCATCTAATCGAGATTGCTTTCATGCCCCGCCTTGTTGTGGATGGACAAAATCTTCCACTATCCTTGATAGGACACTTGCCGAAGTTCCCATATTTCACCCGAGCGGTCCAATGTAAAGGCACCAAGCGCCAACGGCCCAAACCCCAGACGCCTGAAACTTGAACCTGAGACACGAAACCTAGGCATAAACCCTTGTAGAACCCGTGTAGATCCGTTATCGAACCCTTAAAGATCCCCTTTCGTGTTTCATAACACCCTCAATAGAACTACCCCCCATCCCTCATGCAAACAGAGAGCTTACAACCCTACCCTAAGCCCTTCAGCCTAAACTCAATATTCCAGGCATCTCTAGGGCCTACTCCCTAAAACCCCAAACTCTAAAACCCCAAACCCCATCGACCAGGAGCTCTTCCGGCGCTTGCGGCGCAAAGTACGCCGAGCCTTTCTCATGTGGATGTGGCGGTGGCCTCGCACAGGAACACGGGTTCGTACGCTTGAGCAAGCGTATCAAAGGATTTTATAAGGGACTTGGACTGGAGCGTTGCATCAGAAGGCGTCTTCAGGCTTTCGCTTTTTATGGCGCTTGGGAGGGGCCTTACAACGGTTTCACGAGGGTCTGTGTGCGTTTCTCCGGATTTTACTGGGGTCCAGGATTTGGAATGGGGTGTTAGGGGCATGCTATACCGTAATACCCGAAGGCCAAAACCTGACACCTGGACCCTGAGCCCGGAATCCTAAGTAAGCCGTTCGTGTTTATGCCGAATTCCGTATTCTAGGTTTCCTGAACCCTAAACCTGAAACCGCCATGCTAACTCTTAGAGCCTGGAAGGAGGGCTGCGTGGTGAAGTTCTTGAAAGCTCTTCCTTATCATCGATTTGTGATGGTTTTTACATTTCCCTTATTGTTTACTATAGAGCCCTACATAATTTCAAAGAACTTTTGGGGATTGTTGAAATCGACACCTAGTTCGGTTTAGTTTAAGCCTTGGGATTGAAGGCTGATGAAGGGGCCTGAAGTCTTGGAACAAGATTTTGTGCCCCAAGAGTCCTCGGTGGGGGACTGCATGCCGAGGCGGGTTGTGGCTTCCTACAGCTTTCGGGAAGCATCGCAGTGAACCTGCTTAAAGGATCATGGGACTTAGTAAGTATGGTTATAAGTACCTTAATTGGGGCTATAAGTAATTATAAGTGTAGTTACCCGAGTAATAACCCCAGTTACTAAGTCCCGCGATCCTCCAAGTGCAGGAACTCCGAGCCTGGCTCGGCGAGATGCTGCGCACTGCGGCCGGTGGCCGCCCTAAACCCTAAACCCTAAACCCTAAACTCTCGAGTGGTTGTGGGGGCCATCGCTAAAGGCAGGTCTTCGAGCGTCCAGCTGAACCATCTTCTGCCGGGGGCCTTGCCTCACTCAGTGCTCGGTGGCATCAGCTGTGCAGTCTGGATCGAAACGGTAGCGAATCGCGCTGAGTACCCATCCAGGTTCTTGCTCAGTGCATGGGAATTGGTTCAGGCATGGTGCACCTGCCCGAGCACTTGAAACAAATCCTGCATGCGAACACACAGCGGCTATCTTGAATGACTCGCAGACTTCCAGACAATGCCTTCAAGAGACGGTCAGGACATCCTTCTGTTGACGCGAACCCTGTCCCAAACAACCCCAACCAAATCCCTCACCCACCCTTGCCTATTGTTATTAGCTCATTGTCAACTCTAGCCCTACCTTACTCTTGTCTGAAGTTTAACCTGCGCTTAACCCTAACCTGCCTTCAAGCCTACCTGTAGCCCTAACCCATCTTCTAACCTACCCCAGCCGCCCTACACGTAACCCAAACCCCAACCTAATCCGTCACCCTAACCCTAACTCGCACAAACCGTCCTAAGCCCCAAACCCCAATCCATACACCCCTAAACCCTAAGCCCCTAAACCCTAAACCCCTAAACTCTACACCCCAAACCCCTAACCCCTAAAACCCTATCCCCTAAATCCCTTAACCCCTAAACCTTAAGACCCTAAGACCCGAGTAAACCCCTCGACCCTTCATCTGAGCCCCTAAACCCCAAGACCCTAGTAAACTCCCCCTGCCCTTGATCGGCAGGATCAAGTTCTTAAACCCTTAAAATATCCCTAAATCCCTAAGCTCGAAGACCCTTAACCCCTAACCCTAAATCCTAAGCCCTCAATCCCTAAACCCCAAGACCCCCAGTAAACCCATCTACCCGTCATCTGAATCCCGAAGCGCTAACACACCAGTAAACCCCTTCCTACCTTAACGCTAAACTTCCTAAACCCTAAGACCCGAAGACAGCAGTGAGCCCCCCCTACACACTACTTACCTGTGGTTAGTAGGGAATGGAGGAATGGGGTACAATTATAACTGCTATTGCTAGCATTCTTCCATTCCCTACCAACCAAAGGTAAGACTAAGACCCCAGTAAACCGCATCGGCAGGATCAAGTCCCTCCCGCAGCTGACGCTCTGGCGGCCGACGGATGACTCCGAGGTCGACTGTTGTGGATTTTGAGATTTAGAGCTTCGGGTTTCAGAGTTTTGGGGGTATACGCATCCTTTACAGGAAACTATAAGGGTTCCTTGAAGGGATCTATAGGGTGTAGAGCTTAGGGGTCTAGGGGTGTAGGGGTTTTAGGGGTTTCGAAGTTTAGGGTTATAGGGTTCAGGGTTCAGGGGTTTAGGATCTTGGAGCTTCGGGTTATAGGGTTAAGGGGTTTAGGGTTTTAGGGTTTTAGGGTTTTAGGGGTTTAGGGGTTTAGGGTTTAGGGGTTTAGTAAGGTATGGGCTTTATTGTTCAGGGTATTAGGCGTCTTTCTTGTAGGGTTGCTGACGATTAAAGGTTTGATAAGAGGTCCGTCAAACCATATAGTATCGTTTCGGGGACGCTAGACATGGAAGACCCTATACAGGTGATCTGGGGGCTTGAATGATTTATGATGCTGTCCCCGTTTCATCCTTATATAGTTGTAGACCCCCAAACCTTCTCCTACCGTTGTCAAGGCCCTGAAGGTATGTCCATAGAACATTTTAAAAGGTTTGACGCGGTGCGTAAGGATGCTGCAAACCCGAAGCTCGAACCTCTGAAGTCCATGAGGTTCAATGACTCCGAGCCTTTGATTAAGATGGCAGAACCTACATGACATCATATCAAACATCCTCTGTAGTTTAAGGACACGTTTAGCTGAACTTGGAGCTATAGTCAAAGCTTTGTTGCAGAGCTTGGAGTTTTGGAGCTTGTAAGACTTACAGCCTAACTCGTTTGCTGGCAGTATTCGGCAGGCCCTTCGTGCTGGGCGTGCTGTGGCGAATCACATCAAGGTCACATCAAGGGCTGAGATGCTCTGTGCATCGAGGGCCCAATGACCCTTGCAAGTACAGGTCTCTCATGAAAGAAGGGTTGGCTTTCTGGGTAGGTTTGGGCCAGGATGTCAGGAAGTGCAAGGTTTTTGCAAGTTTCGAAGGCGAGATGGCAGGAGGTCGAGGGATTTTGGAACGCCTCAATGTGGTTTTGGTGGGTTTTGGGTTCAGGGTCTCTCGGCTATTGGTTTGAATAGTCAGTAGTAGTATGCCCTTGTCGTCCTTCGCTCTCGCTGCTCTCGCTCCTCTCGCTCCTCTCGCTGCTCTCGCTGCTCTCGCTGCTCTTTCTCTCGCTGCTCTTGCTCTCGCTGCTCTTGCTCTCGCTGCTCTTTCTCTCGCTGCTCTCGCTCTCGCTCTCTCTCGCTGTCTCTCTCTCTCTCTCTCTCCCCCTCTCTCTCTATACACACGCACACACATGTTTCCTCTGCGTATGTGACATAAAGATATATGCATAATGACTAGACAAAATGGTACTACAATATGCCCGTAAGCCTTTCTCCAACCATGAAGTCTTACACGGCTGGGTGTGCCAGAAGAACCCACCCAGAGAGCTCAATACCCTTCAATTAAGGAGTGTAGCTTAAATCATAATATGAAGCCCTATATAATTTAAGCCATATTCCTTAATTAAGGGGTATTGGGCTCTCTGGGCAAGCTCCAACATGAAACCCTGAAGCGTCAGCTCCTCGGCCCTGTAAGCCCAACCCTCGCCTCTCAAACCCAAACGTTACCATCAACCCGAAGCCCCACCTGTAGCCGGAAAGACCTACCTTTTTTGGGGTTTCTCGATGTAGTTCCTTAAAAGGGTAGGTCTTTTCGGCTAATTACAGGCATACCCTAAAACCGAAAGAGTGAGGCTCGTTTGCCCTTTCCAGTGTGGGGTCTCCTTGTTAAAACTGACCTAAACGTTGCGCGCTTGAAACGTCAAGCAGCGCCCAAACCCTTCGCAACTATTTCGATTTGCATCCCGTCCTAAACGCCATGTTTGTTGAGCCCTGATAGGCCCCGTGAAGGCATGGTAGGGCCCTTAAAAAGCCCATATTCAGCCACATCAAAACACAGGAGCTATTTCCAGACCCGTCTCTTCCAGCGGCCGACACTTACGACTTGAAGATCATGAGTCGTCTCGACTTGGCTGCTTGCCAGGAAGCCCCTCAGCAGCTAGAATGATTGGAGAGAAGTCGCGCCAAACAACAGCCCTAGGCCCTTAGCACCTCATGGTAAAGTGGTACAGGCACTAGAACTGGATATGCTATTTACTTGTTCTGGCGTGATGTTATAACCTAAACCCTAAAGCCCTTACAAAAAGAGTAGAACCTTTTAAAACCCTTGTAAAACCCGTGCGCTGTCCAGGGGCTTTCTTGTACACACGCAGGCTTCAGCTGTTTTGAGCTTCCGGAGCTTTATTGGAGGATCAGGGGACTTAGCAAGGTTAAGAAGGGTATGTATTGGGTACGGCCCCCACTCAGTGATAGTTGAATAATATTCATAATATAGACAGAGTAGGACCTTGATAGTAGCCCTATTATAGACTCTTACTGTATGGGGGCCGTACCTAAGGTATGTAGAGTGTCTACCAGGGCCTCTGTAATGGATCATAAGGGTTCTGTATCGGGTTTAAGGATCAAGGGACCTATATACCAAGGAAGGTTACACGAAACACAACCCGAAACAAGCTGACTCAGAGAATTCTAAATAAGTTGTACTGAACATAAAACTCGGAGCCCTAACTAAAACCTAATCTGTAATGCCTAAGTTCCGAAACCACATAATGTTTACGGATCTAGGGCTTCGGGGGGGCTTGGTTTTGAAGGCTTACTTGGAGGGTCCGGGGGCTTAGTCGTGGTTATTATATAGAGTTATGAGTTATAAGTACCCAAAAAGGGACCTAATTGGGGTTACGGTACTTATAACTCTATAAGATAACTACTACTTACTACGTCCCCCGACCGCCAAGTAGGATTGAGGTGCTGTCTTATGGAACCCTAAACCCTAAACCCCTAAACCCCTAAACCCCTAAACTCCTAAACTCCTAAACTCCTAAACTCCTAAACTCCTAAACCCTAAACCCTAAACCCTTAACCCTTAACTTAAGGAGTCTCGGTTCAAGGGAGAGGCTCTCCGAGATCCCCAGGGAAACAAATGGCATTTTAGGGTTGAGGGTTTGGGTTCAGGGTTTAGGGTTTAGGGTTTACGGTTTAGGGTTGAGGATTCAGGGTTTAGGGTTTAGTGTGTAGGGAGGACGAGGGGGCTTCGAAGGCAGGCTTGCAAGTACGCTTAAGACGACTTGGCGTTCTTCTGGTTGGCTTTTAGGACTTTAACTTTTTGGGTTTCAAAATGAGCCATAATAAGGAGGCTAAAAGTTTAACTTTTAGGAGGGGTTCAGAAGTCAGCCAAGGTGACTAAAGCATTCGCATCTCAAATCCCCCCAAATACGGCACTCAGAATCTTACTTATGGCGTCCTACCACGCATTGAGTAGGTCAAGCACCCCCGGACCGCCCTTAAACACTCTAAACACTTAAATCCCCAAACCCTAAACCTCCCCCCAGGCCCTACATAAACCCTCCTTTAAGGATCCCATCATCTGGTTTGGGTTTGCTGAAACAGGAGGCTAACCACCGGAGCCTGCCATAATGCCTTGCAAGATGGCACCGCCCAGAGAGTCCAACCTCCCTTCGTTTCGGTTTTTGTTCCCCAAACCCAATTCTAACGAGGGCCTTATGTTACCTCCGCTGATTTAAAAACTGCTTACAGTGATTGCTAGAGTCAGTGTGTGCGATTGGGCTGAGCAGTGCTATTCTTGAGCTCACCTTGGGTTTCTTGGTTTGATTTGAGAAATTGTCCCTACGATGTCTAGGGGTTCTTATGATGACTTGGGGGGTATCCCTTGAAAAAAAGGGAGTATCCCTTGAAAAAGGAGAGTATCCCGTAGCCGTCGAAAAAGGGAGGATCCCTTGAAAAAGGGTAGTTTCCTGTATCCGCCAAAAACAGGGAGTATACATTGACAACGCGGAGTATCCCGTATCCCTTAAAAAAGGGCATATCCCTTGACAAAGGAGAGTATCCCGTATCAAGACGGGAGCACCCCTTGAAAAGGTGGGTGTTTCTTGAAAAAGGGAGTATCTCTCTTGAAAAAGGGGAGTATCCCATATCCCTTGAAAACAGGGAGTATGCCCTGAAAAACCTTGAAAAAGGGAGTATCCCTTGAAAAAGGGGATATCCTTTGACAAAAGGGAATATCCCGTATCGCTTGAAAAAGAAGGGAGTAACCCTTGAAAAAGGGGAGCATCCCTTGGGGGAGTATCCCGTATCTGAATCCAAGGGAGTATCCCTTGAAGAAGGGGAGTATGCCGTGAAGGAAGGGAGTATCCCTTCAAAAAAGGGGTATCCGAGTATCCCTTGAAAAAGGGGAGTTTCCCGTATCCCGTGCACAAAGGGAGAATCCTTGAAAAGGGCAGTATCCCGTATCCCTTGAAAAAGGGAGCCCCATGAAAAATGGAGCATCCCCTGAAAGAGGGGAGTTTCCCGTATCCCTTGAAAAAGGGAGTCCCTTGAAAAAAATATCGATTGAAACGAGAGTTCCATTGAAAAAGGGAGTATCCCTTGCAAAAAGGGAGCATCCCGTATTCTTTAAAAGAAGGGAGTCCCTTGAGAAAGGGAGTATCGCTTGAAAAGAGGAATATCCAGTATCCCTTGAAAAACCGGAATACCCCTTTGAAAAAGGCGAAGTATTTCTTGAAAAAGGGAGGATCTCGTGAAAAAGGGGAGTAACTCGTATCCCTTGACAGCAGGGAGTATCCGTTGAGAAACTTGATCATCCCTTAAAAGGGGAGTATCCCTTCTCCCATGAAAAAAGGCAGCATCCTCCGAAAAAGAGGAGCTTCCCGTATTCGTCGAAAAAGGGCGTATCCCTTGAAAAAAGTGAGTATCCCGTAGACCTGGAAAAAAGGGCGTATTCCTTGAAAAAGGGGAGTATCCTGTATCCGTCCAAAAATGTCAGTATCCCTTGAAAAAGGGAATATACCCGGAAAAAGGGGAGTATCTCTTGAAAAAGGGGAGTATCCCGTATCCCTTGACAGCAGAGAGTATACCTTGAGGAGGAGTATCGAGGTGAGTACCCCGTATGCTTTGAAAAGGGAGCATCCCTTGGAAACAGGGGGTACCCCTTGAATAAAAGTAATGTCATCTATCGCTTGGAAAAAGAGAGTTTCCCTTGAAACCGAGCATCCCTTGAAAAAGGGGAGTATCCCGTATCCCGTGAAAAAAGGGAGTATCCCTTGAAAAAAAAGGAGTCTCCCTCGAAAAAAGGAAGTATCCCTGGAAAAACGGGGAGTATCCCGTATCCGTCGAAAAAGGGAGTATCCCTTTGAAAAAGCCACTATCAAGGTGAGTATCCCGTATACCTTGAAAAAGGGGAGTATCCCAAGAAAACAGGGAGTATCCCATGAAAACGGGGAGTATGCCGTATCGCTTGAAAAAAGAGAGTTCCCTTGCAAAAAAGGGAGTATCCGTTGATCAAGATGAGTGTCCTTTGAGCAAAGGGAGTATCCCTTCAAAAACGGTGGTATGTCGTATCCCTTGAAAAAAAGGGAGTATTGCTTGAAGAAGGGGAGTATCCCTTGAATAAAGGTAGTATCCCTTGAAAAAGGGGAGTATCCCGGATCGCTGGAAAAAAGAGTCTCCCTTGAAAGAAGGGAGTATCCCTTGAAAGTATCCGAGTATCCGTTGGGAAAGGGGGGTATCCCGTATCCCTTGAAAAAAGGGAGTATCCCTTGAAACAGGGGAGTTTCCAGTGGAAAAAGGGAGTACTTGAAGAAGAGGAATATCCCTTGAAAAAAGGTAGTATCACTTCGAAAAGGGAGTATCTCGTATCCCTTGAAGAAGGGGAGCATCCCTTGAAAAAGGGGAGTATCCCTTGAGAAACGGGAGTATCCCGTATCCCTTAAAAAAGGGCAGTATCCCGTATCCCTTGAAAAAGGGCAGTATCCCTTGGAAAAAGGGAATATCCCTTGGAAAAGGGGAGTATCCCATATCCCTTGAAAAAGGGCCGTATCCCTTGAAAAAGGAAATATCCCTTGGAAAAGGGGAGTATCCCGCATCCCTTGAAAAAGGGCAGTATCCCTTGAAGAAGGAAATATCCATTGGAAAAGGGGAGTATCCCGTATCCCTTGAAAAAGGAAATATCCCCTGGAAAGGGGATTATCCCGTATCCCTTGAAAAAGGGCAGTATCCCTTGAAAAAGGGAATATCCCTTGGAAAAGGGGAGTATCCCGTATCCCTTGAAAAAGGGCAGTATCCCTTGAAAAAGGGAATATCCCTTGGAAAAGGGGAGTGTCCCGTATCCCTTGAAAGAGGGCCGTATCCCTTGAAAAAGGGAACATCCCCTGGAAAAGCGGAGTATCCCGTATCCCTTGAAAAAGGGCAGTAACCCTTGGAAAAGGGAATATCCCTTGGAAAAGGGAGTATCCCATATCCCTTGAAAAAGGGCCGTATCCCTTGAAAAAGGGAATATCACCCGGAAAAGGGGAGTATCCCGTATCCTTTGAAAAAAGGCAGTACCCCTTGAAAAAGGTAATATCCCGTGGAAAAGGGGAGTATCCCGTATCCCTTGAAAAGGGGCAGTATCCTATGAAAAAAAAGGGAACATCTTTTGGAAAAGGGGAGTACCCCGTATCCCTTGACAATGGGCAGTATCCCTTGAAAAAGGGAATATCCCGTGGAAAAGGGGAGTATCCCATAGCCCTTGAAAAATGGCAGTATCCCTTGGAAAAGGGAATATCCCTTGGAAAGGGGACTATCCCGTATCCCTTGAAAAAGGGCAGTATCCCTGGAAAAAGGAAATATGTCTTGTACAAGGGGAGTATCCCGTATCCCTTGCAAAAGGGTCGTATCCCTTGAAAAAGGGAATATCCCCTGGAAAGGAGATTATTCTGTATCCCTTGAAAAAGGGCAGTATCCCTTGAAAAAGGGAATATCCCTTGGAAAAGGGGAGCACCTTGCATCCCTTGAAAAAGGGCAGTATCCCCTGAAAAAGGGAGTATCCATTGGAAAAGGCGAGTATCCCGTATCCCTTGAAAAAGGGAATATCCCCTGGAAAGGGGATTATCCCGCATCCCTTGAAAAAGGGCAGTATCCCTTGAAAAAGGGAATATCCCTTGGAAAAGGGGA